TTGCGAGCACACTGCGATGGCTTTCGTAGTACTGGTGATGAGGTTAATTCAGCGCGTCGATCGACCTCGAGTTCTTCTGTCTTCTACACGGCCCTGTACGACAAGTCTCTCCACTGAATCTTCCTTTCCGGAGATGTGTCCAAAGAACTTGAGAATTCGTAGCTGAACAATCGGCGAAAGTCTATTTCGAATATGAAGTTCTTTGAGGATGGAAACATTGGTTTGAAACCGTTTTTACTTTACATTTTGTTTTTACCATATTAAATTTAATTTTTTTTTATAAATAGAGAGTCGAATGAACTCACAGTCAACCAGTTGTTAAGTAGTGTTCGGAAAACAGTGACCCTAATGTGTATGCCACCACTACAGTTCTGTTAGCGTATGACCTTGACCTGAACTGACTAGAGCACGAGTCTCGTTTCCTGGTAGAAACTGGTGTTAAAGATATTCGATACACCAATTGCGCCTACGTTTATATAGTGTTTGGCTGACAACAATGACACAAGTGAACAATGTTTGTCGGTTTTATTTATTATTTTTAATTAATTAAAACTACTTTTAGGGTTGCGTGATTATCTTACTGTAAACATACTATTTTAAAGATTGAAGAAGATATTTAAATGTTGACGTACAGCATTTTAGGCGGCCGTGACCATGAAAATATTATTCGAGGAGTAGAAAATGATATAATCATGATTTAAAATATAAAAAACACATTAACTTAATTTTATAACTCAATGCAGGTAAAAACAGTTAGACTACAGAGTAATTTTAGACAATTTTGCCATAAACTGAAATCGGTTACAAAGTAAATAGCTTTCGCAACGCATTCCGATATCTCAAATCGTTATCGTAAAAGCTCTGAGCCGCCTCGAGGCAAGATTAAGCCCCGCTTAATCCTAAAAAGCTGCTCTTGTCTAATTGCAACGAACTCATAAAGCACTACACCTATAAAGGCTAAGCGGTCGGATTCAAAATAATGTGTTTTACATTTTCGTACCGTCGGTATCTGCGACATAAAACGGCCTGTAATTTATTCTATTGCTGAAAGGGTTGGGTACGCTCAGGGTGGGAATTACCCAAGGTGGGTGCTAAAGGGTTAAGCCGAATATACGGGGTCGCGACGACGGCAAACTTTGTTAATTTATGCGCTTAAAAATGTCAACTGAAAATTATGACGCCAAAACAAATTTCCCGTTTTCTTTTTTCTTTTTTTCGTGAATACGATCGCGATGGTGGTCAAGTCTTTCAAACGATTTAAAGTACCTACAGAGATTACGTGCAATGTCAACAAATCATATTTAAACTTGACTTTTTGGAACGAAGTTCCTTATGGGACGATGCGGAGGGGTAACCTAATCGGGAAAAAACGTCCGTAACGTAAGATTTTTATTAGTAATGCACACAATGTACGACTTAACTTTGTAATAACGTACAAATTAGTAAAGCACACAGTGTACGACTTAACTTTGTAATAACGTACAAATTAGTAAAGTACACAGTGTACGACTTAACTTTGTAATAACGTACAAATTAGTAAAGTACACAGTGTACGACTTAACTTTGTAATAACGTACAAAAAACAACATTTTTTTTTATTCCGTTAAATGAGATACGTTGGTGTTAAAGTCACCATAGAATATGGACACAACAAAACGAGTGTCGTTTATAAGGTGCGAATATTTTAAATCATTGGTTCACAAATAAAAGCAAACCAGACTTAAAATATCACAATACTCATTATAGAAATTACAGCGACGGTTGGGTATGAAAATGAAGTTAGTTTACTAATATGTATTTCATTAGAAAAATTGGTACCCGCCTGCGGGATTCGAACACCGTTGCATGGCTAGATACGAATGCAACAGACGTCTTATCCTTTAGGCCACGACAACTTTAAAAAGGTATTATGGAACAACAACAAGATTACCAGTTTTACGCACCCGTATATTCTTAAACCATTGTAATGTACGGTCAATTAGCCTTCTTAAAAAATATTCCAAATTTTTACGTCTTAAATTATCTACACGAGTCACAAACAATAAAAGAAATGCGTGTTCATTTCAATGCCTACATTACAAAGAGTTTCGAAACGCAAATATCATAAAGTTACGATTTACAGGCGCGAAATTTTCAACACAATTGTCAAAGTAGGTTTTAGTAGGTAACAATTGAGGAGTGCCGCGACGTAGATAACGCGGGAATTGTAACAAGATCCGCGAGGGCGGACGGAGTCATTATTAAAATATTCCGTCGGCTGCATTAAGTACGCTGCCAGTTTAGACAAACAGTTTTTTAAATCCCTATTATTGTGATTATTGAATTGCAAATTATCATTCGTTCATATGATATTTAGAGATGTACAATACCAACAATAATATTCGGCTGACGTGTCATAAAATACATATAATTCTGCTGTTATTATATCATTGTTAAGTCTAAGTCTAAGTCTATTGTGTTCAAATCAATGTGCTACATTTAAATCTAAATAAGAACTTTTTTAAATACATATTGCTTTTGTGCACCAAATTAAAAACAATTTTAGACGAAATGCGGATTGGAGAATTAATGATTGTGTAGTTCTATTAAGTAAATTGAGTCAAATTTGAAACGTCTGCAACGGTGTCATGAAAATTATATTCAGAGGGTAGTCGTTACCGATTCCAACCATACCTATTCCCTTGGCTGGCTAGGCGACCAAAGCCGAAAATCAATCATTCGCAAAGCAAGCACTTGTAATTTCAAATCTCGTCAATGTCAAAAACAATTGACAATCGATTCGGCGCGGCAGCTCAATTTAAAACTGTCACACGGCCTTCTTAAATGCAGTAATGTACATTGCTTTACGAATTTAATTTTAAGCAATTTCCGTGTTCGGAATGTCTTGCACTATTTAATTTTAATGTATCAATCTTTCTTATTGATTTATACCTTTAAACGAGCAATTCTATATATATAATTTGAAACTCGAAAATGGCTCCAACAATTTTTATAAAATTTAGTATACAGGGGATTTCGGGGGTGATAAATCGATCTAGCTACGATTTACTTTCAGAAAATGTTGTTTTATTCGTGTTTTCAATAATCAACTTTATCGATAATCAACTTTATGACTCTTCCCGACATGTATTGGCGAATAATAACACTATTTTTCATAATTGAGAGCAACTAACTGCTTTAAAGACACAATAACACTAAAGTTATTGCAGCAGATGGCGTTGTTAAGCCACCCGAAGCCAATGAGTGTTTGGTTTAAGATTAGACCAAGAAAATGAATTGTTTATTTATATTATTTGTGTCTTTTTAACTCACGTGTTCACTTAAAAGTGCCTAAATGATCTTGGAATATTTCATCATTTTATCAATGTGTAACTTGTATTTAAATATAATTTCTAAAAAATACAATTTATAAAAAAAAACCGCGCCAAGCTCGGTCATCGTCTATGGGTATTTAATGCACAAGTGACAAAATATATAATATTTTCGTTTAGGTAGATTCTTCATTATATTCGGTCCCTTGCGTAGGGGGCGAGCTCTTAGTCCTCACACTCATTATTTAAATATTTAAACGACTGCGTTAAGTGTCTTGTTATCGTTACTACAACGTTTTGCGAGTGCTCCGCTATTGTTGTGATGATTGAATTCGGAATCGTTTGTTTGCCAGTTTTATTGAAGTACTTCAAATTTATTTGTCGTGTACAATGGGCAAGTGTGCTAACGGCTCACGTAATGTCACGTAACGACATCATAACATGAACGATGTCAACCACTTTGAGTCATGAGGAAGGTCAAAGTCTCGTTTTGATCCCGAGCGCGTGATTGGGCAACAGAGATAACCAGGATACCAGTGCCTATTTGTGCAGGCTTCCAATATCCTCTGCTATCAAGATAATGCTAGTTTCATCCATTAATATCCTTTAGTGACTGTCAGCTGTCAGAAAACTAGATCTATTACTTTTAATTTTCTTTATTTTTTATTGCATTTATGGGTGGACGAGCTCACAGCCCACCTTGTGTTAAGCGGTTACTGGAGCCCATAGACATCTACAACGTAAACGCGCCACCCACCTTGAGATATAAGTTCTAAGGTCTCAGTATTTAACGGCTGCTCTACCCTTCAAACCGAAACGCATTACTGCTTCATAGCAGAAATAAGCAGGGTATCACCAGTAATTACGCAAATTATAATTTTGCAGGTTTGATTCTTATTATACGATGTTATTCCTTCACCTTGGAAGGCAACCGTTAACATTTAGTTAAGTACGTATTTCATTGGAAAAATTGGTACCTGTCTGCGGGATTTGAACACCGATGCATTGCAAGATACAAATGCACCGGACGTCTTATCTATTAGGCCACGAGGACTTCTAAGCTTGTTACTGATAATAAGTTAATTTGTACTCAGGCATAGCTCATCAGTTGGCTGGTCTACCTGGAGGCGAATGGGGAGCGCTAGCCCGGCATTACCCCCCACCAATTCTGCCAGCACATCCGCACTTCACTCCACACGTGCTGCCTCCAGCGCATACACAGCCCCCAGGACCCCCACCGCCTCACGAAAACGGTAAGTCGCTTTTTCAGATTCTAATTCAACATACGGTGGTGGTTCTGGTGGCAGGACCTCATGTGAGCCCGCGCGGGTAGGCACCACTACCCTGCCTATTTCTGCCGTGAAGCAGTAATGTGTTCTGGTTTGAAGGGTGGGGCAGCCGTTGTAACTATACTTGAGACCTTAGAACCTTATCTCAAGGTGTGTGACGCATTTACGTTGCAGATGTCCATGGGTTTCAGTAACTACTTAACACCGGGTGGACTGTGAGCTCGTCCACCCATCTAAGCAATAAAAAAAAAAAAAAAATATACGTAATTGAAGAATTGGAAGTTTTTACAGTTTGGCGTAAATACCAAGAAACAAGAATTTCGGACTAAGTCAATTCAATTTTAAATTCCTTTATTTACAGAGTACTAAAATTTCTTATCTTTACAGACGTGACGTCAGATAATCCAATATCAATGCGCGCTCACAGCACTACGAGTCCAGCGAACTCCCGGCCGTGCTCCCCGCAAGACGATGACATATCCGTCACCGCTTCAATGAGTCCTCCTCCAGACGAACGGCCGGGAGCGTTCACCTCCGTCACCAGACCAAGAAAACCCCTGCAGCCACTACCGGCTCCGTCGAGTTTATTCCACAGTGCATTAGCCGCTCAATTATTCCTAAATTCCCCTTTACTCCCCACCCCGCCAGCGTGGTTGTATTCGCAACTCTACGGCGGCTACGACTGGTGGCTGCGACCGCCTGCGCCCCAAGAGGATCCCAGCTCGAGCCCAGACCGGGAAGAAGAGAGCTCTACGCCTTCGGTTGCGGGTAAAAAACGTCCCGCGTCCCCAGAGTGGTCGGACCAAAGCGTTCGGACGCGAAGCAAGTCGCTTACGACGCCCGAGAAAAGACCTGTCGATGTCTGGCGCCCGTATTGAGCTAGTAATGTTTATGTATAAACATAAAGAAATCGGTTAATAGGCCGTCCGAAGTATACCGTGACAGTGAACTGAATGTGTCGTGTTTTAAAGATAAAATAGTGAACGTTGTGAAATGATAGGTTTTTTCATCAATAATAGATACGAAATGAATGTGAAATCGTACGTTTTATGATTGTTGAATGTATTATAAGATAATGCAATCTGTAAATAAAGTTATCGAGATTTTTAATAGATCGTGTTCTTTATAATGAATTTTAATTAAAATATGAACTGATACACATCAGGCTGGTGTGAGGAGTAAAAAGTTTTGGATTGCATCCATTATAGTCGAAACCGCATCAGCGAGCTATTTGGCACAGGTCATTGCAACGGAAACACGTTTTCCGTATCGTTTTAAATTGTTATTTTATTAATTACAAAAATGTTTTCGTATTTAAACAATATTTTCCATAGACGTTCCATTATATATTAGATTACATAACGTAGCGGTTCAATTCTTGATTTATCATTCATTTATATAAGCAGAATATATCATTTCGAACAGTCACACGACTGGCAACTTTTACTTTTCCCGTCAACAAAATCCAACAATCTGAATACTCCATTCATTACTTCTTTGGCGGTTGACTCGATTTCGTTTTGAGGCAGCAGGAATCTGTGTTTCTTCCCTCTCAATTCAACCATATACGAATAAGGTATGCCCGCAACAGCGTAACTCCAATCTATACTGTTGCCGCACGCAAAATACATGAGATCCTTCGTACTGCCTACTTTATATGTGCGTCCGCTTGTTTCATATATTGCCTGCGAAACACAAAAATCATCATTCAAGTTGCAAACGATTTAGTGGAAAAATCTCATTTAAAAAAAGTTTTTTTTAAAATAAGGAACTCTAGCTTCGTGTCTAATAAGTACAATTCCAAATTTATAAAAGAACTAGCCGTACTCGCCCGCTTGGCTGAGCATTTAATATTAACATTATTATTTATTGTCATTATTATTAGGGAGTCCAAAACTAATATAAATATTTGCCTATCCATTAAGTACATGTATATTCTACATGGATACAAGTTTCAAGTCAAGTGGATGCATGGTTCAGTAGTTATAATGGAACATCCCTAAAAACCACTAGATTTATATATTAGTATACATAATAATCGACAACGACATTGACCTTTGCAATAGAAGTGCCTCCTTCCAACAGCTCCACATAATCAGGACATGGTTCATCTGTGTACCCCCATGGGAATATAACGACTTCGCCGTAGCTATGAAACGATAGAAACACCTTGAACGGCGTCGAGCTTTTGGTGATCAAGCGCTGTAAAAATAAACACGTCATCAAATAATACATAGTTACTATTTTTCATCTAAAAACAAAGAAACAACAAAGTGTTAAGATTAGTGCGTCCCATTAGATGGTGAGTGGTTCCCGTTGCTCATGGACATCAGCAATGCGCGGGGTAGAGCTAAGCCACGGCCTACTGTTAAACCAAGACGCCGTCTACCGTTAGCCAAGCCGCTTCCGACCGTCTTTTAATTCTAACATACAATCTTAGACTCATAATCTCAATTCATACAAACTACATTAAGCGTCTTACTTCTTTAATGTTGTTGAAATAATGACACGACTAAGATAAAGGAAATACATTTGACGGCGATTCCAAAGGAATGCGCTACGAATTTAATATGAATTGATTTAAACTGGCAGCAGATTTTAAGTCCGAATGCATATGGTACGCTCATGTCTGTTAGGTAAATTTCGGACGTACATCTTCAGGCGTTCGGCGGATGCATTTTTTGTTTGTATATGTACATGAGCAGAGGAGCCTATGATCATCAGTTAGGAAGTGGATTCCTCAACCCATAAACATCACACAATTAGCATGACGTCACCTGTCATCGGATGATACGCCTTACAGTCCTGACGCGTGACTGCTTCGGGACAGGGATAAGCAGGATAGTATACCTACAAGTAAGTACGGGCTCACAATACGTCCTACCATCACTAACATTTTAGTACTAAATAACGCAAACTAATGCTTTGGTTTAGGCCATCCTCTTCGTTTAATTGGAAGAGTATTACATATTACAGTGGTATTAAAGTTATCAATAAAATAGCCAAACTGGCACAGCTACAATCTGCATCTAAAATTATACGCCATCGTCATATTATTGTTAACATGCAATCAATTGCAGTTTCCTTATTTTGGCAATATGGAGCATTGAATGAATCGTAATTTGGAGCATTGAATCGTAATTAACTCACTCTTAGAGCGGCCGTTTCAGGTTCGGAGAATGGTTTCGGTCCTCGGTAAAAGATGTTACCCGGGTCTTCTGATGAACCTTCCTCGCCTTTCTCTCCCCAGCCGTAACTGAAACAATTTATTTCAACACTATATAAATTTCCAGTCTGAAGCATTTATGTCATCCACATTGGCCGGTTTTATTTTAATATTTGAGTATTACAAACATTCAAACGATAAGTTGAAAAGTATCATGACATACTGAGCTGACAGGTGGTTTTAGGAGTACTAGTTACCATAACACCTTAGCACTTTGAAAACGAGTACTACTTTTGACAAATTTTCAAGCAACGGCCACTCAACTCAGGCAGTTAGACTGTGAGATCACATCAAAGTCACATGCGACCCGAATGCCACAAGTAGTCTTAAAACTTGGGATCGAAGTCTCAATAGCGAAAGACCGTCTCATCGTTGGAACAGGAACGTGACGTTGGTTAGTCCTTACCTGAAATTCCTGTTAAGGTCAACTCCGACGCATTCACCGTAACGGGCCCTATTCTTACGCCACATTCTATCGTGCGTGTGCGTGTATTCATAGCCATCCGGATTCAGGACTGGAAGTATGTACCTAAAAACAAAAATATGTTTTGGAAAGAGAATTCAAGAAAGTCTTTACGCATTTTGATCAATTTAAAATCAAAGTAATTATAATAATTAAATAGATCTCAATAGGGGGCTAGTAAATAATCACCGCCCTTGCCACCGATTTGTAATGGATATTCATCACTGAAAAGAATTGGTAAGAAAATCGGCGCTTTTCCAAATTTACATGTAGTACATAGCCATCGTAAGACAGAAATTGGTGGTAGGACCTCTTGTGAGTCCATTTCTGCCGTAAAGCAGCAATGCGTTTCGGTTTGAAGGGTGGGGCAGCCGTTGTAACTATACTGAGAACTTAGAACTTATATCACAAAATGGGTGGCGCATTTACGTTGTAAATGTCTGTGGGCTCCAGTAACCTCTTAACACCAGATGGGCTGTGAGCTCGTCCACCCTTCTAAGCAATAAAAAGAAAAAGAAAAGAAACTTATAATATATGTATAAACACGTATGATAAGTGTCCCTAGAATTTGAAGAAACAGGTTTGTATTTGTGAACATTGAGTAGTTAAGTATTTTATTAAGAAATTGTAAATCTGATTATTAGATATTGATTGTTTAAAAACTTAACAATATAACTAGAGCGTACCAATCCTTATTAGTTACACAATCAGGCTGCTCATGAAAGGTCCGGACGAGTCTATCAGCAATGTACGTCACGACAGCTGTGCTGATCCACTCACGGGGATGAATAGCTGCGTCTAACCAGACGCCAACGTTATATTCATTACCATTAGATACCTTTAAAATCTGTAACACGACGGGATAAAGTTTAATTTCCTCTTGACGACGTGATATGGGATCCGAGTATTATTCGTGTTCTGAGTCGGTATTTTTACTATAGATATGTTGTCTGCACATTGTGTCATAAATTGTGGTTGGATACATATGAATTAGGACAACTTACTTAAAAAAATATTTTTACTGAGTAGATTATCAATTTTATTATGCACAGCCAAGATTGGCAAAAAGTCAAGCACACAATGACCGTAAATCAATTACAGAAGAGATTTACTCCAAAAGTTTGAATGCATCAACTTATTTTTTTAAAAACCAAACAACACTTTTCTTAATTCGAAACTGTTTTTGTTAGTTTGACCTTTTAACACCAAATGGAGTAAAATATTGATTATCGACCAGAATAAAAAAAACCTTCAAACAATGCACCAATAGATCGACATTGTCCTTTGCACAGACATAATGGAATAAATCCACTTTGATTTGTATCCCGAAAAAATGCAATATGTTTGACTTTTTAACGCAACGGCAATCGCATTTATATCCTTAGTATTTCGTTAATAAATGAAACTAATAATCACATAACACAAAATCTAACCTTAATATCTCGTCCTTCAGCAGATTTTCCAATAACGGCCACCGAGCACAAATAAGGGTATTCATGTGACAAATTCTCCATGAACGCATAAATTACATGAAGACGATGATAGTTATCCCAATCCATTTCACAATCTATTATTTGAATAAAGAAAAACAATATTCAACCACACAAGCTAGCTCTTAAATGTTTTGAGGTTAGCTTCGTGAAGCATTCATTTATCCAGCTAGCTCTCTCAAACGCTATGAGAGGCTCCCCAAGGGTTAATCATGTTTACGATAATAAATTCATCAACAGATGCCACAGAAATGATCTAAACATAAACATTGTGAAAGTATAAATGAGTGTACTTTGATTGCTAATTGTTATTGTCTCAGCATAATGACTTGTAATAAGCCTATCTAAATTTTAGGGTCTCGTCATAGTTACTAGCTACAAGTCAAGTAACAGACCGGTTTTGAACACTTTAACCATACTAAAATTGTATTAATTATTTATGATATTTACGGAAAAATAATCTAAAACGGTCTTTTGAAGGCCATTATTTATAGGTACATTCTTAGATCTGTCGTTAAAGATAGTGAAAAGGTACTTTAATGATTCCATGTTTTATAAATTCAATAGTTTATTTAAAAACTGGTTTCCTGTACGTTTTTCATGTTGCCTCAACGACAGAAAGTAAGAAGCAAAAAAAAAGTACGAGCGATATTAGATGATGAACTATTATAATACTAAGCTCATAAATTCATTTACTCAGAATTTGCGCAGGTAGAATCACATTATATGTCTAATGTATTAAAGTTATAGGTAAAAATATCGAAAATCTTACAGTTTGGTTTTCGGTTATTCTTTGAATATTTAATCCCTTGTTCCCTACTCAGTACAGACCCAACATCGCCAATTGCTATGGAATACGGTATCTCCCTTTCGTGAAGCATACCGGCTATCTGTGTGATTCTAGGTCCATCCACCATTATATCCATTGTGCTATTTTCTTCTTTCCAGATTGTTATCGCTACAGATAAAAACATAATTGAATCGACTGGCATGCGTTGTCGTATCTCTATTTATAAATCTAATATCAAGCCCTTTTATTCTGAACTCTTTTTGCAGTAGTTCATATTTCAAAGGATGTCATTCAGTTTCGTGCTTCCTTGTAAAGGCCTTATCTAACAGTTTTGTCTTCTATCTGCAGCCTACCCCAATTAGAAAGCTTTAGTGCGTCTTTCCTTATTTTTCAATTACTTTTTCTTTTCTTTTTGCCCTCTTTAAGATATCCTAACTTATTGATATCCTAAAGAGGAGGTAGATACCTCTCGAGTATTTCGCATTATGTGACCAGTCCGTGTTTATTTCATTTTAGTTAGTAGTCATTTTAAATTTAAAGACGATTTAATTTAAATATGAGATATTTAATTTAAATATAAGTTTTAAAATGGTTTAAAATACTTTTAGAGGTTTGATAATATATGGCTTATTGCGGTGCCGAACAAGCCGTTCTCCAACACTTACAAATTATTTTAACCTTATTTGAAGAGCGTTATGTCACAGCACTCAGGAAGCACCGTGAGGGAAAGTTTGTTCACCATGAGCATTACTTGTAAAAAACGAAACGAAATACATACAGTATACAAGTACATCTATTCTGTAAGATAACCGGTGAGTGAGATAAGGGCCATCGAAAATTCGAACTTCTACCTTCATGATACATGAGAGCTTCGATTCAGCCCACCTGACTTGTTCGAAAATTTAGTTTGGATAGAACATGCCTGATTTTTAGATCCTAGTCTATCAAATTCTTTGTACCTATCATTAAATTTAATTAGATAAAAAATATTGTGTTTTTATCAGTGGACCAACCTCCATGTGTATCCAATGATTTAACAAAACGCCTTTGTCCTTCTCTAATAAATCTCACTTCCCATACTTGAGTACTTGAAATTGAGGTGGCCACTTTGAATTAATTAATTTACGTTATTCTAGACAAAATTGTTTTTTTTTTTAATTTATATTTTACGTCTTTACAAATGATTTTTACAACGGCATGTTAAATTTCGAAATGACGTATGGGGATTTTATTGTCTTTCATTATTGATACGCATAAAGGTTGTATTACCTCATGCGATAATTTTCTCTTGACTGTCAGTATCATCGACAAACTCCATTAAGGCCTTAATAGAGTTCCAGATCTCGTTTGAAGTTTCATTTATTTCTTCTTTGGGAAGTCTAAATTTATGTTTTTTACTTCGTAGTTCGATGAGGTAGCAATAAGGAATGCCTAATTCACCGTAACTCCAATCATTGCTTGTGCCAGCAGCTCCATACATAACGTCCTTTGAAATTCCAACTTTATACGTGTTCCCATTGAAGTCATATATACCCTGAATAGTGGAGAGATCAGGGTTTGGATGAAATTTCCCGTAAAGATAGCTTAGATTAATACACAAGGCTTTTTACTGTATGTAAATGACGGACAATGCCCGGTCTGTCTGTTATAATAAATACGATATTGTGTTCGCTGATTCGTTCCTCTTTAACGTTACACAGTACCATTTGCGTAGGCCTATTTAGCCTTGTTTGAAATCATAGTTGTTACACTAAGCAAATAAGAAATGTTGCGCCAGAAACATTAACTACTAGTACTAAATCCTACTATGTTCCGAAACGCCCTACTGCTATAAAAGGTAAGTGCGAATCTCTCACCGTGTCTCAGCAGTTAAACATAAATTACGAAAATATAAAAAATAGTATTACCCTTGACATAGCAGTTGCTCCTTCGAGCAGACGGATGTAGTCTGGGCAAAGATCATCTTTGAAAGCAAATGGAAACATGATTACCTCTCCATAACTATGCAATGTGATGTAAACTTTAAACGTAATACCAGAATTTAACATGAAATCCTGGAAGTATTGAAAATAAGATAATTAAACTTTAAATATTATAATTATTGATCATGATTGCGAGAATCCGTACGATTCGAATTCAGAACTTGTCGACGTGGTGGAGTTTGAGAGATATCTAGTAGTGGACATCTCTTGACTGATTTTATTTATTTATTTATTACACTTCATGTAAAATTTACATTGGCGGACTTAATGCCTAAGGCATTTTCTACCAGTCGACCAAAGGTAGTGCAGAGTAAATAGTGGTAGGTGCAATGAAATGACTGATGACAGTGAATTTTATTTTATTGCATTAGATGAGTATGCAGTGCATTTCGTTTTAAGTTTTTACCGGGGCCAATAGATCGCTTCCAACCATTCACGTAAGATAGAAGTCTGGATTGTATTTTTAAACTCTTTCACTCTGAATAACGTGTGACTGCTTCGCGTTCCAAGCATTACGTGCGTGCTTAAAATACACCCACAGACAACCGTTAAATAGTCGATGGCCGTACGTATTGACATTTAAAATATAAAAATATAATAGACGGCAAATATTATTAATTGTATCTGCCGTACAGGTGTGGTTATTACACAAATACCGAGTTAATGTAACGGGAATGATATAAAACCGGTGCACTGAAATTGATTTACGACTAAATCCTGTTTGCACTTTAATCTCTGCGTTCAACGGCTGTGACACGATTTCGGTATCAACACATTATTGCTAAATGAATCTGGATTTGTAATGACGTTCGCGTATTATTTGTGCGAAAACAAAACTCCAATATATGATATGATTGTATAAATATACGTGTTTAAATACACACAAGAAAAATAACGGAGCTAAGAACTATGAAAGACTGCTCTCCTAATGTAAACAGAAAATAACAATTACACAACTGAAGACATTACATTACAAAATACCTCGTGTACACATGTCAAGCAAAGTTATCCCGGCCTTCAAATCACAATTTTCTTACTGTTTATACATGTGTAGGTACATCCTATAGTTTTAATGGTCTATGATAAAAAATAATCGACTTCTATACGCCCATTAGTAATCTCATAGAGCACTGACATCAATACAGCTTGTTTTGAGAAGATATCACCAAAAAGAATTTGCTAAGTTTATTTTACTAATGAATTTTCTAGTCTTCCAAATTTTAATTTTTAATTGAAATCAATCAAGATTCACAAAATAGTTTTAGTATTAATAAGGTATTATCGATATGTTGTGATATAAATATTTAGGTTAAACTCACGCGAACAGCCGATGATTCTGGTTCAGAAAATGGTTCTGGTCCTCTGTAAAAATTGTTCGTCGGATTATCAGAAGACGCTTTCTGGCCCCAGCCAATACTAGAAAAAAAACAGCTAATTTTTAAATACATGTTTGATAGTCTATGTCTAAACTAATCTATCTAATAGATTTAGAAATAGTAATATCTATTCTGCCCTTACAGATTTATTTCTCGATTTTTGTATTTGCTACAAAAGTGATTGCTGTATGAAAAGAAATGTCAGTAGGCTAATGAGCAACAAAAAGGAGGATTAGAAAGGAATAAAAAAGCCGAAAGAATTGTGAAGAATTTATGTTCAATTTACATAATTAGATTTTTCAACATATCCCAAATATTATTACGATTACTCTACTCAAGCATACCTAAAGTTTCTGTTAAGATCAACACCGACGCACTGGCCGCCGTGCCAAGCTCTGTTCTTTCGCCACATACGGTCTTTTGTGTGAGAATATTCGTAACCGTCGGGGTTCATAACCGGAAGGATGTACCTGTAATTTATTGATACAGAAAATATTTTCTTTTTCAACCTATTCTTGGGTTCTCGAATTTTAAATGTTTAGGTACATGGTTTAACACCTTGGCTGGGGTAAGTAAAATTATAAAACTTCATTTGTTGCGGCGGCGGGTCGCAGTGCGCCCCCAACGATATTTCCACCAGTGCGGGCAAGTCTTTCTCGACCCACCAGCACTAGGGTATATTAAAAAGCTATAACTTTGCGTAAACGTACTGCATATCCGGTCATCGTTCTCGTCGCAAGCGACTGGTTCGACGAGTAAATTAACTCTCAGACACAGCCGTTTCCGATCCGGTGCTAGATTCTGCAAAGCACGGCTCTTGATAAGGTTCGTGTTAGCAACGTCGTCAGGTTTGATCCCCGTGAGCTCACCTACTAGTTAAATTTACACTGAAATAGCCACTCAAGGCTATCAGCTTAGGTAGTAAAAAAAAAGTAGTACTGTATATAATTTATAGTATATGGTTGTTGGTGACGAACTCTCATAAGCCCTTGAAATAATCGGTTCGCATCAGCGAGAGGGACATAGCTTTCTTCGTAAACACCAGCTGAAAGTACCGCGCCGGGCCCATATGAGCCTGCTCCGCAGTGAAGGTGATAGAGGCTTCTTATCTTCAAAATATTTCATGGATACACATTTATAATTCGTTAGAAATAATTAGAATTTATATGTTCAATTTGAAAAGTCTAATTTTGAAATGAATGTTTTATATTATACACAGTTTATACCATTGTACAAAGATGACGTTACAGTTCTACTTAGCAGAAAAGGCGATGCAATTAAAAAATTGTTTTAGAAATACCTTAAAAATCTTAAAATAGTTCGACAGCTAGACTGGTCTGGTATGTTCTAGACTACTAGACTAGTGTACAAAATTATGGGTTACACTAAAAATCATGCCAATCATGGAAATTCGGAAAATGTTTAGTCTTACCAGTCTTTATTGGTGATACATTCAGGCATATCATTGAAATTCCTAGTGATATAGTCGGCTATGTAGGTAGCCACAGCAGGCGCGATCCATTCACGAGCGTGGATGCCGGCGTCCAGCCACACACTTGCATTGTTGGCGTTACTGTTCGATATCTTGAGTAACTGCAACATTACAGCATTACCTCAAGACCTCATGAATGTTTTCGTCAATGAATTGAGCAAAAAAAAAATTTATTACATAAAAAAACTTCAACAAGGCATGCTATTTAAAGTAAATGCGATGCCTAAAATACAGGGTGGCCCATAAGTCCTTTGATATGAAAAAAAATTTATTAAAATAAAACTAA